TGCAAATTTTTAGACTCGATATCTGGTAGCTATAGTATAAGGAGTAACCTAGTTTATGGCGAAAAAAGACTCAAGTAATGATTTGAGTCCTAGGCAGTGTTGATATACAGGCTCACTCGCCTGTGCTTAAATAATTTCAAGAGTAAGGTAAGGAAGTATCTATAGCAGACTTATTACCGTTTGGAGATGAGAAATGTCTTGCTTTATCTGTAAAGTGAATCGTTTGCGTAACGTAAGTCATGGCGTAATGCGTCTAATGGCGTAATGCGTCTAATTGCGGGGAACCACTCTATTAAAATCTCAATTACTCAACAATCAACTATAATACAATCTCCAGTATCACTTTCAGATTCATCTTCAACTTCTTCTCCAATATCCTCTTCAGTTTCAGTTTCATATTCAATTACTTTCCCTTTCCCTTTTCCTTTTTTCATTGTCTGTACCTTAGTAGCTTTTTCGACTTCCACTACTGCATCACATAATTCTTGCGTAGAAATATGAAAATGACCCTTCAAAACTAGTCTCTTTCCTTTCTTATGTATCGTACGTTTCTTCATAATAGCTCGTAAATTATTCGCATCGTGTTGATGAACAATACTTTGAGCTCGAAGTTGCTCACTCCCAATCGTCAATTTTCGAATGTATTGACGAACCGGGGTTGAAAGAGTCGTATCATTTTCAATTGTTGAATTTAAAAGGTTATTTGCTGTTTGTAAGATTGCTACATCCGGGGGTGAGCTATTGACGAAGACTTGGTTAAAAATATCAAATTGGGTTGGTTCTTTAGATATTTCGACTTCGGGGGGTAAACTCTCGATCCAGTGTACGGAACACTCTCTGTGGATTAAATGGATGTAACCCAGCTCCCCGCCATGCCGATTCGATATTTTGATGATGGCATACGTCGGCTCGAGCTTTAATATATGCCTCCATCCATTCAATCTTTTGTATTCGTACAAGTTGAGCTTGATTCAAATCAGAAAGTGCTGCGGTGAGCCGTTTTTTCAATGGACCGAAAACCGCAACATCAAGTGGCTGAAGCAAATGCGAGGTATGAGGAGGAAGTATAAGAAGTACAATTCGATTTTGAAGGCAGTGAGCTATAAAGCTTCCACTAATATGAGAATCGTGGCCATCGCAGATGAGAAGCCGATATTTGCCACCTGCTTTTGCACGAGTTGCAGGTTCGAAAACGCGTTTTAGCCATTCTAATCCATGAAGATTGCTTGTCCAGCCCTTTGTATTTGCTGAAAAGAACCAGCTACCAAGAACTTCCTTCGGAATCCAATTTTGAAGGACATTTTTACCTTTAAAAATCCCGAGTGGTGGAAGAATGGATTCATCCGCACAAATACACTCTACCATTGAAATCCACTCTTGACGGCCTGGATGTGCTTGATGTTTTGTACGAAGTGTAGAATCGATAATAATTCGAGTTGATTCCATTGTCCCAATTGAATGTCCAGATTCATCCATATTATATTCGTCTTTCTTCTCAATTCCATAATCCTGAATCGCTTTTTGATACGCGTCAAACCAAGTACTACATGTTTCCCTGGTTGCACCATCCATTCTTACAGATTCAATTCGACGGCCAATAACAACTGTAAGATGAGGATGTCGTTTGATAAATCGTGGAACCCATTTATGACCAAGAAGGTGTTGTGGTGGGAGTTCAAGGGAGTCAAATGAGAGGCAATCCAAATTATAAGTCCGTTTTGAACGTAACTCCTCAACCAATTCTTTTAACAACTAATGGCCTGGTGAATAGCCACTAATTGTCAATTGCTTTATCCACTTAAGAAGTACATTCTCTTGTACAGCAGAAAGTTTCTGTTGCGATTGACGTGCTTCAGAACGCGATGAACCCTCTTTGACGCGTCGCGTCACAGTATCTTTAGAAAGCCCCAGTTCTTTTGCAGCTTCATATGAAGACTTATACTTTCCATTTTGAACTCCTAATACTGCTTCAGAAAGTCGAGATTCCATTTCCTGCACTTTTAAACTTTTTCGACGGACCATTGTTGAATTGTTGCTTTTTTGATGGGGTGGTCCCCCACAATTAGACGCATTACGCCATTAGACGCATTACGCCATGACTTACGTTAATCTGCTTAAATGTAATTTTTGCTCTCGTCTCTCTCTATTTGTTATACTATCTAGCTCACGGATAAGCATATTGAGATATAAAAGAATCATGAAAGACTAAACGAAAAGACCAGATCGAAAGATCCACCAAAACTTCTCTATCCAAGGGGGATGAGAAGGGCATTCTATATTGCTTTGTTTGGCTGCTTAGACCTGAGAAGAGTTATCTATGCGCGAGGTGTTGGAGTACTTCTTTATGAGGTGGACTCTGGAGAAAATTTACTGTTGCTGGGTTTGACTATTGTTGCTGTTATGGCCGATCATGAAAAGCGATCGTTGATGATTTTGCAAATGATCGGTTGCTATTATTAGACGACAGAGTCTCCTTATATATCTCGGTTAATGACAGCGATATTGTAAGTCACTACCCTGTTCGGAATTATACCTTCACTGCCCTTAATTTTTTATGTTCAAGTTACGCATATGATAAACATGCCAATAGCTCATTACCATTGAGAGCACTTAGAATAGAAGCAATTTGTCATTTCGACATCTGAGGATAAGATGAACCAAAACTGTGTGGGAATGGAAGAAACTACGTCACTTATAAAGACTGCAAGTGAGTAAAGTTTTGAAGGCCTAAGATCAATACCATTTCACGCCATAGATACAAAGGTACTGATTCTGAAGTGGAAAATTATAGACACGTGGACTATAAAAAGACTTCACTCGTTCATAGTTTGTAATCTCTATACCTATGTTTGAGAAAAGCAATTGAAACCCCTCGAGGATCAAGACTATGGACATGAAGTCAATGATATGAGTACCAAAAGTATAGTTTGGGTACATCAAAGTCGAGCAAAGTAACCGATGGAAGGAAGGGCATGAGGAAATATTGAACTTTCTTCCTTCTTTAACATAAAAACTAGTATTACTGTCGAAACTAAGGTTCTCTTCACCGTATCACACTTCTGAATTTTGGCACTTTCTACCTAAAATCAAACTCATTCAATCAAAGTGTCAAATTCCCACTGCATAACCTACGTGCGCATTTTCACTTTGCAACAGTCATACACACTGAAAAACCGCAGTCATGATCACAATCCTATAGACGCTAAAATATATCATGAGCACTTACTACACGAAGGCTTGGTGATCTTACACTTCTGAGAAGTTTGAAAAGCTTCTCAAACGAATTGATGCCTCTAATCATCCCAATACTCCTTTTACACTTCAACGCCAATCAAATCGTGAGGTATTGAATAAAAACCGAGTCACTCCATGAGTATAAATATCAATCATTATTCACCCGATAATCTTTTTATCTTACATAGACATAGAAAACGAACAAAACCAAAAACAAACAGTGGTGGAATCTATTAATCACTCTCAATATTATCTAGTAATTCTTTTCCCACTCTCGGAGAACCTAAATCAAGGTACATCTTCAGCGTGGGAAGTTATGAGTTTCAACATCATTTTCATTGTGTGATTTACTTTACAGTTTACTATCATTCATCGTTGACGCTGTCGCTATCCTCGTCGAGTCGTCGTGATCACTGTCAGCTCAATTATCACATACTGAGTACCTATCCCATCAATCTCATCAATCTCTCATTTAAAACTGTAGAGGTACAAAGGTACACTACACTTCTCACCACTAAGAATCTCCGATTCATCATCGAATTTTCAATCTCCATCTCATTATTCTCGATACCTCACTACCACATACCTAGCTAATACCCATTTCACATCCTCGCTACCACCCTATCCCTTCAGAAACTCTCAAAATAGCTACGAACCCATGTAGCGATAGACACTCACGAAAGTTGAGTCATGGCTCTCAACGTATACATGTGCTCACGAAGGAGATCTTGCATTTGGTGATGATGAGTGATACTCATTTCCCTGTAGCGTTCTTTCCGTGTATTTAAATCATCAACTTGAATAATATTGATCATACTGACCTCAAGAAAATTCTGGAATTGCACGATATCATTCATCTCAATCTCTCACTCGATTCAGATCCTCAAGGTTTTGAGAAAGGGCTCGAAGAACATGAGTGAGCAAATTCAAATTTCGAGTTTAAGTTCCCGCTGGAATTGCTTTTGTTTGCATAACTCTAAGTATCATTCCAAAAGTATACTGGTTGATCTTGAGTATGTATCGTTTATCTCAAAAGTATTCACCACCATAGGTACTCATCTCAAACCCTGTTCTATATCTCTATATTATCGCGAGGAATTCCTCATACTTCTTATTTGTTGTGTCTGAGAATGAAACAAAAGTTTAGTATATTATCTCTCTCTGTCCTTTCATTCCAAGATGGTTTTCACAAAAAAAGCAAAAGAGTGCGTTCGCCGGGAATCGAACCCGGGGCCCATCGAAATTGTTCAAGTTTCTATTGTGGAAGAGAAGATTGATGGCAACGATGGATTTTACCATTAAACCACAAACGCTGATTGATTTTTGATGCGTTACAATCTGCAATTTTTGTATATGTTAAATGCACTCATAGATTCTAAGGAGTTAGATTGCATGGTGAAAGACACGGGGGAGAAGAGAGAAGAAATTTTCAAAAAAGTGGAGATGGTGGGGAAACACCCGAGACGGGAGTTCAAATTGACATTTCTAGCCGAATCTTCCCCATCTATATGCATATAATGTATCCAAACGCAACTAAATGAGAGACCTAAGCAAATAATTCCCCGCGTCCAGCGCGGAAACTATATCAATCAACACAAATGAACTGACAGGCTAAGAAACCGAAAAAATAAGCCTCTAAACTCCAACTCCATCCTCATTGTTCCTTTTCCCCCTCCACCCTTCCTTCACACCCCAAGAACCCAAGCAAGCAAACAATTGATCATAATTCTAGAAATCTACATACCTAAAAAACTTCTATCAACTTTTTAACTCTTTCCATAAAGATCATCCGACGACGATCCGCGATGCCTCCTGGAACTACTTCCTTTTGTCGGATCTTCTCTTGCATCAGCACGCTGCTTACCCTTACCCTTGTCCCTAGAGTTTCTCTCCTCGCTAGTACCTCTTGCTTTAGAACCACGATCCCCAGTTCGGCTACTTCCCCTTTGTGTCGAGGACTTTCCGGCTAATTTCGGCTCTGCTGCTTTCGAAGAACTTCCCTTCTTTGAGACAGCCTTCACCTCAGGCGGACTCTTAGACGTGGATCTTCCTCCGGATACTGGTAATGCCTCTACCAAGCCAGACATGTTTAAACCACTATCCGAACCACTAGGAATGCTAAGAGTTCCTTCTTCACTACTGGACAGGATGTTTCCGCGCCTACGCTCGTCACTTGAATAGTCGGGAGGAGCATTAGCTATGCGTCTACCACCGAAATCTGCGAAGGCTTTTGTATTTTGTGGCAACCGTTGGCTTAAGTTGGGAGTCTGACCAGTTGGCCCAGGAATCGAGCGAGGTTCAGGGGCGTAATCCGGGAGATCTCGATTTAGAGGTCCCCCCGGATATATTTCATCTCGATCTTTAACCTTCGGGTCATTGAGATGTTCTCCGTAGCCCGGTGGGTTGGGCCTTGAAGTCCGGGCGTTGGCACGCTGGGGTCGGATAACTGGACCGTTGCCATCATACAGTGCTACTGCTGCTGCATCATCATCGTCTTGTTCCGCAACCTCTTCTGCAGTAAGAGCTCGCCCACTCTGTCTCTCTCTGGATGCTGTACGAGGCTGTCCATCTGAGCCTCCTCCTGTGGATATCCTTGATGATTCACCATGACTTTGTCTTTGTCTAGCTTCTGCAGCTTCCAACCGTCTATTTCTATCTCCTTCGCGCTGGGCCACTACTCTCTCTTTCTCAATGGCAGCTGTAAGACTAGATGTTGTCGAGACTCTTTTCACCTCCCGGCGAGGTCTGTGGACTTTCTCTTCATCAATATCCCCATTGACATCTCGACGATAATCCCGATCCGCTTGGCAATATTTGTATTTCGTGACTTCCTTCCCACGCTTGTCAAGTCTCCCATTTATGTCAAGTACAAGTTCCCCCTTGGCACTCTTACTATATGTAGTGATCTCTTTATGATCTGCATCGAACTTGCCACGCTTGTCTTCCTTGAATTTCTTGCTACTTTCACTCCATCTGTAGGTTTTACGGATATCCATGTTGTTATCGATATCTTCTCTGCGCTTATTTAATAATAGGGCTGTACTGAACGTTGTTCTTACGAGATCGTTTGCTGAATCTGCTAATGATGTATATATTAGATAATTCTTTAGTATTTTGAGATCTTTATATACCTTCTGAGATGTTGGCAAATCTATAAATAGTGATATCTTTAGACGGCTTGAATTTCCCACTTGGCCGCCATTTGACGGGCAATACGTCGACATTACGGCCATTGCTATTATCGAAAAAAAAAACTACGTATTGGCCCAGCGTCATGAAGCTGGTCGGTGAAATTCCACATATGGCCAAACTTTGGCCGCATAGACCAAAAATCAGTGCTCGCAATGGATGGGCCTGATATTACGGTTGGATTTGACTGCGCAATGGGATGCCTGTAGAGCAGATTATTGGCCTTGCAAACAATCTGCAGATTTTCTACTTACAAAGTAGGTTATCGAAAATCCTAAAAAGATTCTTTGTAGGTGCTTCTAGAACTTATCATTAATTCAAGCTTAGACACAGAATCTATTATTAATCTAAACTTAAACTGATATTGTATTTATACTAGATTGATATGATATAATATTGCAGAGCAAATAATAGGTTTTGTAGATAACCTGTAGAGTAAATGAAATCATTAACAAATTGCTTACAAAACAGACTATCTGTAAATCACCCACAGGTGCAAATTATTTCTGTACACCCCAGTTGAATTTGGTAAACGATGGGCCGGGCTGGGCCGAGTAGCACAAGATGGTAACCCGTAATGGGCTATTCTTGACCGGTTTTTAACTTGAGAGTTTCGTAGGTTGGATACACATTAGCTAGTTCTATGGATTCTAAATTTCAGCTTCAACTTTAAGCTTCATTTTTGGATTTTGGAATTATATTTCAGATTAAAATTTATTAAATGATTAATTATGGTTAATCATCAATACGAATGCGTAGTTCTGATCTATTCTTAGACCATTTAGATAGGTTGGACCATAAGTGACCCAATAGTCCTTTTTGGACTAAGCGTTTGGGTTGGGTTTAGCAAAAGTACGAAACCCACCCATTGCGAGCGTTGCTCAAGACTCCACCCAACGAAGGGAGAAAGGCAGATGCCATCTGGAGCTGTGATAAATCTAGTTCCTAGAGGCCATATTATGAGGCCATACATGTATCTAAAGATAAAAGTGCTGTATGATTCATAAAAGGGTCGCCGAAAAAAGTTGTGAGAAAATTCTTCTTTAATCCTGTAGATGAACGAATATCTTGCGCAAGTCGATTTCAGTATATCGCAGACCAGTTTGGAAACACTTTTTCTGTATAAATGATCTGCAATTAATCATACAAAAGTGTACATGGTCGTAGTGGTCTACAAGTTGGAGCCTTCTGTGCTGAGAGCAGGTAGCTGACATGAAAAACCCACCAATAAGCGGAGGACAAAAAGCTTAGGAAAAATAACATCATAGCAAACAAATAGCAGAGATAAATTCGACTCTTCTAGAGCTACAAGAAAAACATCCAGTAGGAAATTCCTAGGAACACTAGTCCCAGAGAATGTCCAATCTTCAGCGCCCCCGATTTTGTGGTTACACTAGTTGCGATTGGTGATGCCGATTCTGCAGAGACTACCGCAGACGAAGAAATGCTGCTGCTAGTACCAGTACTGGAGCAGAATTTATGGTAATATTTCTACCAGCAGAAATCGAGGTTGTAGATGTATTCATCACTATCGCCGAACTCAAAGGCGTACTCTCAACATCCTTTCCACACTCTGTAATCTATTCCAACCATCCGCAAATTCACCTTCTTACTAATCTCCATAGAAGCCAGCCAATATTCATTGAACCGATAAGCCCAACCCAGGAAATCACGTGCCAATTATGATTTTGAACCGCATGTTCATCATGACAAGAGAATATGAGGCCAACGAAGTGAACCCGGTAGTATGGCAATATGTACAATTCCTACAAATTCAGCTAGCGAACTCGAGTCTGGATAAAAATTACTTACACCCACTTAGTACAATACCTCACAAGTGTATATTAAAATACCTGGGCAATAATCACTACCAGTGCGAGAGCTTCAGGAATCAAAAGGAGTTCCTCCTACATACTCTCTTGCGCAGCATCACCATCTGCAGTACATACCTCTTGAATACCTTTGAGATATATATCTACAGGTTCGAAGCAAGTTATTATACAAGTATTCTCAAAGTCCGTAGAGGTAGGTTTGGAAGTAGGTCGTGATGTTGATACTTGTTGCTTATTGTATAGTGGGGTAAGAAAGCTTGTACTCCTCAGTATATTAAGATTTCTAAATATAGACTCATAAGGATAACTCAATACATACACAAACATAACGAAGACGACCAACAAATATACAAAGAACGAAAGGCGCCGCTCTAAATCAATAATCGAAGATACATCCAAAGTCCCTGGCATTCAGTCCCGCACACACATGATCCGGACATAATGACTACCTATTAATTAGCACCCAAGTACCAAAATATACAAGCATCTTGAAACCCCTAGAAATATTAAATTTGAGCCACGTCAGATAGATTTTTAATGAGAAGATAAACTGATTGATCTCTCGAGCGCAGCGAGCAAAATGGGGTTTGGGGGCTTGCCCCCATAACAAGAGAGGTAAGAATGTGTGACGCTCCGCTGGCTCTCCGAGGGCCACTGCCGTGGAGGCAGAGTAAATGAGATATAGCCATTATAAAGAAATCTAATAACTCTTAAATAGCCACATATCTACACTTCATGAAGTCATCACCATACAATCACCACACCTTCACACCCTCCCTTTCACCCAGCGCTAAAACATTTCCTTCCATCCATCCATCCATCCATCCAAATTTCAACAACATCACCGACAAACCCCATCTCATATCTTATACCCCTACGCAAATAGCCCCCCCCCCCTCTCCCTCTCCCTCTAAACCAAACAACCTCCCGCAGAACCCCTCCAATAAGTCATCTCCTCTATCTGAAGTATATCCAGCATATCCAAAATATCCCTCAAAACTCACTTCCATCAATATACCAAAGGAAATTCTCAGCAACAGCCACATCATAACTCTCGCCCGACACATCGTTGACAACTTGAAGCTCATCCTCAAGAGATGTTCAAAGTCAAACGAGCGAGCAAGCAAGTGACTTATCAAGAAAGTCGACCACTCTCCGGAAATACGGATAGATTCTACATCCTCGTCTTCTCTCATAACAAAGTAAGATAAAATCCTGAGACTAGGTCTTCCAACCCACTTTATATGCCCAAAAACATTCTACTATCGAATGTGGATGGTATTGACGACGGTATAACTATCGACAAAGTCATCATAATGGCCCACTTGAATATACCTCCGAAGAATTCAGAACCACCGACCTCTGTATTGTCTTCTCTGTTATCCCCCAAATCATTGTACCACCAATCCAGCGCATTACGACCACTTGCACAAGTACTGCCATCAATCGACCCATTCACTTTCCTAGCGCCTCATTTTAAATAGATTTGGCCTTGTTACCCAAAGCTTTCCTTCTCAATCTCAATCTCTAGCTCTTACGTTCCTGCCTTCGCTGTGTTACAAACTTTTTTCTATCCTCTTCCGAAACCCGCCAAATGCAAGCCCCCACCAAACTTACAACCTCCATTACCTCTCTCTGCTTCTTCTCCATCTCCTCATAGCCCAGTTCAGTTTCCGCAAAGGGTTTCGCGAGCAAGTATTTCGATTTCGTTTGCGATTCTTCGACTCGGAATCGAGGATATGGCACTATGTTTTCAAGCGATCGATCTTGGAACGGCAATAAGGGCATCCATTAGGAAGATCTTCTTCTTCGCTTCTGGTCCATCGCAGAATGCATGTTAAGCAGGTATGTTTATGACCGCAGGGTATAGTGGCTACGGGTGTATAATTAGGTCCGTAACAAACAACACATTCATCAGGCTTCTGCGACAATGGTTATTCTGGTCAGCATCTGCATAATAATTTGATTATGCATTCCAAGAAAACATTGAAACTCGCAGATGATTACTTACTGCTAGCCGTGGTATCTCATCAAGCGTTGGTAGACTTTTCAATGGCGCCCCGGGTCCCTCTACTGGGTACAGTAGTTTCGCGTAGCGCGGGTTTCGATGGTCAAGTTGACATGTTGGGCAACATGAAGTCGCATAGCTTACCCGATTTATCAGAGACAAATCCGCCATAACGAATTTCAGACATGCTTGACTTAAAGAATCAGACTTCTCACGCAGCCTTTCTATCAGTCCAAAAATGTATCTCTTGGGTTGATCTCCAAATGCGGGACTGCGTGCAAATAATGGCATTTGCTATGACAAGTCGTAAGCTTTCTTTTTCAGTTTTGTATGTAGGATGTCGCTACGTAGCGGGTTAGACTTTACTACTTATGGAAACCATGCGAATACAATAGCAGAACATTTGACGCACGATTGTCACCAGCGCAGGATCTGGAAGCCAAATTTTTACATCCAAGACCGAGGTGCATCGAGATAACAAGCGTTCAATATGTTCGCGCTGGGACTTCAAAACGCTGTACAACGACACAAGATCTTCTCTCATAAATCTTAACTTTCTAAATTCGAATGCATGATAATAGTGGCTCCCTGGGGAGGTTCAAGAGCGACTTGGATATCTTCTTTCAAAAACGTGTCAGCAGAGGAAACTTATTGGCGTGATATCATCGTATCATGAATTATACTTACTAGATACGGCATCACATCCAATTCTTTAGATTAGTAAAAGAATTGGAGTTCAGATGATAATCTGAGAAAGGGAGTAAGAATGATCGGTTTCGACTGTGGATTCGAGATGGAATAATTTGTCTCGAAGGCAGGGAGTTCGAACAGGGTATTGACGAATGCGGTAGCCATCATGAAGTAAATGAAGGGTATCAAAAAGGATTATGGGATAAATGAACGTTATACAGTGTTAAAGTAAAATACGAAGAACGACTTTATTAAGAGGGCAATAAAAGAATATGGGAAAGAAACATATTTCGAAAAATCCGTGTGGGTGATTGATGAGGTTGAACGGTCTAGAGTGAAGACTCCCACTAACATCGACCCTAAATGGATCTAAAAATATTCTCAAATCTGTCATTACCTAGGTAGGTAGGCTCATCAAGAAGCAGCTCAAAATGAACTAAACACAAACCGACCAATTCGATTGGGTAGATTAGGGATGTAAGAAGTAGTAGGTATGTGAATATGATTTTGTTGGAGCAAAGCAGAATGAGGGCTTCTATATCAAAGGAGAATTGCAAGACAAATGCACAACAAGTACTTGAAGAGTCAAGTATTATGTTGCGAGTAATGGATATGTAACTTGCTTCGTATCCTTTTTTATATTGAAGGTATCGAAGTAATAAAGCATCTTGACCAGTCAAATTCTTCGGAAGCTTTCCTCGGTTTCTCAGTTCGTGTGGAAATATGCATATGGATACCACATAACCTTGCGGTAAGTAGGCATGCTTCCCTATGACTTTCATCTCCCAAAATTATTCCTCGCGGTCTATGAAGCATAGAATATCTGCAATGACAAATATTCGGGGATTAATAGCTAACATCAAATAGCTTTAAAGAGTCACCACCAGTGAAATGAAGTTTATGCTTCGATAAACTCGCGAGAAACAATACACATGGAAAGTCTATGGTTAATACCTCAAAGTAATGTTGACAAACCTTGAGACTTACGAAAGAAATGGAACCCCCATACGGGTTTATTGAAATGATCGAAAGCGAGAACCTCACCAGCTCTTCTACTTTGACCGAGAAGATACCCACCAGAAAAACATGTCGATACCTAATCAAAGCCTGCCGCCACGACTCGAAGAAGTCAGATGTTCCAGCAATATCCCTTGTATATTCATGGCAGAGATTCGAAATCCACAACAGATAATGAATTGTCGATGGCAGTCGGAGTTTGTAAATTCGAGGACAAGTAGGGAAAATCCACTGCGAGGTATTGGCATTTGACATTGTAATTATTGCTGATGATGCATCACAAGGGCCAGTTTTGGAGGAGACGATCGATAAATCGCCTTCAAAGGTTCGTACGTAGATATGCCGATACTCCACTTCGAACCCTTCTCGAGATTTCCCTCACATTCAAAAGTACCACTGAACAGGACGCCATCTGCGGCCGTCTTTCGCGCACAACCAAATCCTAGGAAGAACACAGAGATGAGAAGCTGCTTAGATAAGTCCTTCTGGCAGAAGAGCAGTTCATTGTGAAGGATAAATAGTTGAAGGTGCTCGAGTTATATATATCTGGGAATATTCGGGCTCTGGAGCGATTTCGATCTCTACAATCTCAACAATCTCGACGTGTCAAGCTTACTTGAGATCGGACAGAGGTGAATGCTAACAATTGATTAGTATTTTCAACTCTTGCCTACCTATGCAGCGATTAAACAGAGAATATCCTCAACAATAACAATAATGCCGGCCGATCATATAATATCAGAGTTGATGGCTCTAATGAGAATAGGGCTCTCTGTCCAACTTCTCAAAGTCCAACTTCATAGATTCATAAGGTAGAGAGAGAATGGTTGAGACACAGATTAATCGTAACCATCAATAATGGTCAAAGGTAGATGAGTTGATCAAAGTGACATAACTTGGTGATTTCGTGTTCACATATTGTCGTTGTCCTTTCTTGTTGTCGTTGTCTAACTTTTCGCCTAAAGATTCTATAAATTCTCGATTGGTGTATCGCGGCTATTGCTGCCTCTTCCTCTCCTCTTATATCAAATGGCGATGAGTTATTGGACCACCAGATGGTCCATATCATCCGAGCCATCCACCCCATTACGTTCATCCCTACCTTCCCTCAGATATCCCTACTCTCGACCAATTCTAGCCCACCGATTGCATGACCATTGATGACAGCCATGACAGCCATGACAATTATGGCAACCTTAGCAGATCGACGAACAAATAGGATCTTGGGGGAGCCTCAGACTTCTTCCAATGTTGCATATGCAAGTATTACATATCGTGTGACTCGACAATTAATATTTGCTCTGTTGTCAGTTGTTTTTCTAGAACACGGATTCCACATATATCACCTACATACATATCTAGTACGTACCAGAGACCATATAAAGAAGAAGACGATTCTCGGATTCGGGATCCTTCGGCTGAAATGTGTTGTTCTCCTCCCACTGCACCTCCAAAACGTATACCGACAACCTTACATTAATCCATGCTTATTATCACTATACGTACCTATGCTTTGCACGAAAGGGATGAATAAGAATTGTTAAGATATATCAAGATATTCTAGAAATCTAGGAATTAATCATCACGCCATATGTTCGATTCAAATACAGATACCAAGTACCAAGTGAATCAATATTTGACGGGAAAAGCCTTGTTGTAACAACTTTGGGTCTCCAATTCTTCCAATATCTACGCAAGTTACATCGATTTGATAGAGATCCAGCCTCATTCTATTTCTTCCTCTACTTGGGCACACCGACTTCACTTCGATCTTACCTCTCTCTACTTCTTGATTGATATACATACATATCGTCTCTTGTCAATTTGTCATTGATTCTTATATACTGAAACCCCCCCAAACCACGCCTAATATAAAACAGTGTTGGATTATCGATTATCGAATTTAAAATTGAACAACTAACTATTCAAAACATCTGATTGTCGACTTCACATGAACATTCAACGCATCTATCTGAGTGTCGAATTGAACTTGCTTTTTCTTCAACTAAATTACTATTCCGAATCAGGGGCACACTTTGACTTTTCAAGCCAAACATACCTCACGCACCTGACATCTAAATCATCGTCCCTCGTCCCTCGTCCCTCGACCTTCAGCCACAGTGGTCCGAATCGGACTATGGACATAAAAAGCAATACGGCATACCACTGAAAATAGAACCGTACTTTAAACACTATTACTTGGATATCGAGGTTGAATTCAACATCTCCATCAAATCAAGTCTTGATGCAGTATTCTACTACCTTGTGTCAATATACTTTCATCAACACGCTCACAAAACCTCCTTGAACCATGGATATCAATCACCTTCCACCAGAACTAATTCAATGTATTGGCGACCACCTTCGGAGAGCTCCACTAAACGCCTTGATCCAGACCTCTAAACGCCATGCGAAAATTCTAACATTCCTTCTCTACCAAAAAGCTTTCCGTCGTCACTTTCGTCCAGCGATAGATAATGAACCAGAACCAAGAGCAAGATCAATATGGGTCTACAGTCGAGGTCGCAGTTATGTTTCTCAACGACGTCTATGGGCTTGTGCCCCTCATTGGGAATCCGAATATGTGATGAATTATTTCAACAATCGATCGCTGGGGTGGGCACAAACTCGTTTTGGAGGAAGAGAAAGAAATGGTGCTACTTGGTTACATCTCTTAGCCGCAGCTGGCCATGAAAGACTTTTGAGGATGTTCATTACCAAAGGTCTCGATATTAATGCACGTGACTGGGCAGGGAATACAGTTTTACATTCTGCTGTCGCGGCAGAACAACATGGGTTGATTGATTTTTTACTTCAAAGTGGTGCGGATGTTTTGGCTGTCAACTCTTTAAATCAATCAGTGTTGGTTTATGCATTGATTAGGTATAAGATAGGGGCTTTAATACCAATCATTGACGCCGTAAAAGTTCGAGGTGGAGATCTTAACTACAATACCGACGGAACAGGACACCCGCCAATATTTCTAGCTACAAGAATAAATGAAGCACTTCCAGTTGTTAAACATTTCTTGGAGAATGGAGTCAGCGTTTTTCAAATATTATCAACGGGTACGGGTAATAATGATACTCTCCTCCATTGGGCTTCCCGTTTCGGACATCATGAAATAGGAAGTTTCCTTGTGTCTCAAATGACTAGTCATCCAGGATTCATCTCATTACTCAACGATCGACATATGGCTCCCCTCCATTTCGCAATATGTCATAGATCATCATCTCTGGCCAAAACCCTAATAGCAGCTGGAGCAAACCTCGACGACGGAGATCAAATTGGCTCCACTCCTCTCGATCTAGCTATCGACCATCGTCGATCCGGTCTCTTCCAAGAAATCTATCTCAAGTGCAATTACAAAGATATCGCCTTCCAAAAATTCAAACAAGTCCTCTCAGACAGTATCAAAGACGAAAATCCCCTCGCCATCCGCCACCTCCTCGACCTCCAAGGCC